GTGGATCTTATTTGTACTACTATAGGGAATAGATACGATGCGTCGATTCGAAGTAACCGTGGTAAATTAGGATCCAGATCGGATTGGAGTCTGAAATCCTTATAGCAGTTACATATGTACTTGATGTAAATACTCTAGTAGCAAATCTGTTAAGGATCACGATTTTAGTGAATTTGGTTAGTTAATCTAAAGTAAATTCGTCAAAACCAGGGAACCCGCATTAAATGCGGATGCCCTTGATTTCGTTCCGAAAAGAAACTTAGAAAAAATGAAAATCGCTAAATATCAAACGTGATAAGATATAGACTATAAATGTGTTAGGAAAATAAAAAATCTTAACACGAATTTCCTGAATTCTCGTGTGCGTTTAAGTTGCATTAATAATAATATTTTTGTTTTCCAAAAAAAATCGGCGTTAATAAAAATCACTTATCGGTGTTTACTATAGTACTGTATATCTATAATTATGAAATTTATTTTCCTGACTGAACTATGTCTTAATATTGTTAGCTGTATCTCATAAGTATAGAGAAAATTGATTCTGGGCCTTCTAGATAAAACGAGCCGGCTGAATGGCTGAGGCAATGACTAACTGATTGATTTCTCAACGAGATGTATTAACATCAACATGCCAATTTAACGAAAAATTCCCTAAATCTAGTCTGAATGTAAGCCGTGTTTGTTTCTTTCAGAGAGTATATATGTTACCGCTAAAGCTCGAAAGTCGCTAATCTGCAGATTAACTAGGGTGATCCGTTAAAGTTGTGAAAATTGTTCCATTTCTCAAATTACCTAGATAATGTGCAGAGTATCTAGGTAATCCGCATGTTACCTACTAGGCACTCGGTAAAGTGAAAATAAGATCTTTGCCACAAATAAATGTACCACAAATAGGTGTGCTTGTCGCAGAAACCAATTGCTATGAAATTCAAAGTGTCACCAATCTTTAGACTGCACTAATAAGTAAGCACAATTGGATAATGTTACTTATGATGAGTAAAATGGCGGCTCGTCTCTGATTCCAGCAAAGAGAAGAAAGGAAACATTGGGGACGCACGTTCAAACCTAACCTCACCTAACCTATTCTAATAATTTGGTTGGTAATAATTATGGTAATTTATTAGAATAG